ACTGGGGGGCCGCGGGCCAACGCCCCTACACAGAAGGCAAAATGACAGGGGCGGCGGGCGCAGCGACGGACACGGGAAATGCACGGCGCTCGCAGCCTGCTAGGGAAGCAAATAGCCGCAATGCGCGTTGCGCCGCGGCGAGGCACCTCTGTGCGGCCCTGCCGGGGCCGGCGACACACCGCGGCCCAACACCGGCGCGGAGAGTTGCCTCCCCTGCCGCGGAGCGTGGGAAAACAAACTGGGGCGTGCGCTGCGGCACAGTAATGAGGGAGCACCGCCGCCAAGCAGCCACCGAGCGGGGAATTAGCCTGCAGCGCAGCAGCGTCACGGCCGCGCCGCCCACACGGCTGCCTGCGCTGTCCTCCCAGGCTGCACCTCCCCCGGCCGCCCCGGAGCGTGCGGGCGCGTGAAGACGGCCCTCGGAGGTCTACCCATCAGCCATCTTCGCACCGCGCATCCGCGCATCATACACTCTCATGCACTCACACACACCGTCGGATCAAAGATGCGGCAGTCCTCCGCCTCGTCTTCGTCACACAGATGCGGGGCATCCCCCACAGGTGCCTTGTGGGGGGTGTGTTGTCTGGCGATTCTCTCCTTCCACAAAAGCATTTTGGATTCAAACTTTGTCGACAGCGCTCCAACCACAGGGAGGGCAGACTCTCCCCCCTCCCCCTCTCCTGCTCTCATATGCGCCGTGGAATTGGAGGCCAGGTCCATCGTCAATGAGGCCCAGAAGAAGCACAGCGTGCGAAGAAGATGCACTTTCCCGCACCTGTTGGGGCGGCCGTCGCACCACCTCTATTCGAGCACCTTCCGCCCGCTTTCTCCCAGTGGCCGCGACCTGCGCTCATGGCCCGCCTCCCGCACCGCGGGTTCAGAAGCACATAGGGTAGAAAGTGTCATTTACCTCATTGCGCCTGCTGCGCCCTCGGCACCTGATGTTGAGCGCAACTTCACTGCGCTGTGGCCATTGAATGTTTCAAGCACTGCGGCCGCCGTGCCTAAGCCACCGTGGATTTTACACTATGCACGGCAGAAGTGGCCATTTGTGAAGAAGAAGCTGAAGCAAGCCACCAGACGGGATATAAGGGAGTGCTCCCCAAAAACGGTGTTTCCAGAACACGCGACAGGCGCGGGTGCGAACGAACAGCGCACCTCAAGTGATGGCACTGCACACACCTGTGGCACGTAGAGTACACACCCCGCCCTACACTACGTTTGGCAGGCACCCGCCATTCCTACGAAGTTCCGGCTGTGATGCAGGCGGCACCGCGGTGCATTTTTACGGCGCAGAATTGCGTGTGCTGCCGAACGTGAGCCCATGTCGGCTCAGTAGGAGGGGTCGCTGAAGGCGCTAAAGCCATGCTTCCAAAAGCCGCAAAAAAAAAAAAGTCGGTGTAACTCCGCTGACCCCCTATCGAACATGTAGCTGAAAAGGACGCGGGAAAGAGAGAGAAAGAGAAATACTTCGGCTCAAGCCGCCTCACCACGCATGGCATCCACAGTAGCCGTATTCGCTCCCACAAACATGCGCGCATGGATTCGTACACAAAAGCAGTACTAGAGACAGAAGACAGGGTGACTCACCGAAGCATTTGTTGTGGCTACTGAAAACAACAGCGCCGTCAACATGAGTTTGCATAGAAACTCTTAAACATCTCCACTAGAAACTAAATTTAATACATTTACACAAGCCAGCCACGCGTGGGCAACCACGGAGCACGCCCCAGCGTCTGCAGAGGCGGAAGGGAAAAAAAAAAAGGAAAAGGAAAAAAAAAGTGAACCGCCAATTCCCCAAGCTACTTGGGGCGACGAACATGAATAGTGAAAATCGTATCATCCGACGAAAGGCACGGTTCGTCTGCCACTACTGGCTCAACCTCGGCAGAGTCTTTTCTCGTGGCCACATCCTTCTGGCGAACGTTAAAACCCTGCCACCCAGACCTCCCGCCCACACTGGGGACAGGTTCATCCGCGCCAAAACCCATTGCACTCATCGCAAAGAGTTCCTTGTCAAGGCCCTCGTAACCCTTACGCTCCATCACGTTGTTGATCTTTACCGCCAGGCGATCGATCGCCACGCGGCAGTATTCATCGTCATGCACATAGCTTGGCCTACGCGGCATAAGAACGTTCCAACGCTCACAGAGCAGCATCAGCGCCTTCAGCCGCTGCGGGGCTGTGAAGGTGCCAAAAGTAGAAGTTAACACAATCGCGACGACCTGCGCGGCGCCGGTGCGTGTGCTATGCAATGAAATATCATCTCCACTTGTAAACTCACTGCCCTCGTCAAGATCCGGCACATCCTTTTCAAGGCGAAGCGCGGCGAAGGTGCGCCCGGGGACGGCGTCCAGCTGGTACATCTCCACCGGCTCCGGCACCCCGCGCAGCGCCACAGCTCCCAGCGCAATCACCTCCACCTGCTCCCGCTCAGTCGTGCTCAGCGCCATGTACGCCGCACGCGTCAGCAGCACCTGCCCGCCGTTCCCCACGGCCTCCGTGCGCGCCGCCATGTTAGATGTGCCACCGTAGTAGTCGTACCCCTTCGTCACCTCGTCGCGCCGGATGTCGCACAGCCCGGTGTGCACCCCGACACGCACCCGCAGGCCGTTCCAGTACTGCCGGTACACCGCGGCTTCCAGGCGCGCCGTCGGTGGCACGTACCCCTCCGCGTCCTCCTCCGCCCGGCCCTCCTCGAACTTGCGGTACGCCTCGTCGAGCGCGCCCGTCCCCCAGTCGTGCTGCAGGAACACCTGCTGCAGCTCCCGCACCAGCTGCACCGCCGCGAACACGCTCTTGCACGCAATCATGAACGAGTCGCCGATCGTCTTCACCTCGTAGCAGTGGTACTTCGCAATCAGCGCGCGGATCAGGCGGTGGTGCGTCGCCACGGCGTCGGGCATCAACTCC